TTTTAAGTTTCATATTGTGACCTTTGATAACCTCACTCTCCCTAGGAAGCCTATCAAAGCTTTCTAGATGATGATTATCTGTTTTCCTTAGAATGTACCCATAAATATTTTTGACTAGTAGCAGTCATAATGGCATGACAACCACAATAGATATCAAAGTGGTAATAGACAGTACCAATTAAAACAATCATCCATCACAAGACCATTGGAGGTGGTCTTGTCCTTTGTGTTGTCAGTCTTTAGCACCTCAGTCATACTATTAAACAATTACAGTAGCGGGTCTATTCAGGAGAATAGTCTGCACAGGTTGCTGGGTCATCTCTTCCCACTCTGATCTATCTTCCCATTAGTAAATTCTGTTATATTCTATGGAGTGGCCCACTTCACCTTTCTTGCTATGGTGGCCATTATACCTTTGCCCCACATCAGATGCATATGTTGAAGCCCTGAGCCCTAGTCACCTGTGACATTTAGAGACCAGGTTTTTTAAAGAGGTAATTAAGGTCAAAAAGGTAATTAAAAGAGTTATTATCCCTAGTCAATCTGACTGGTGTCCTTATAAGAAGAGCAGTTGGACAGACACACACACACACACACACACACACACACACACACACACACACACACACACACACGAAAGGTCCTGTGAAGGCACAGAGAAGATGGCCATCCGAAAACCAGAGAGAAGCCTCAGAAGGAACCAACCCTGCTCATGCTTCAGTCTTGGACTTAGAGCCTCCAGAACTGTCAGAAATAAAGTGTGTTGTTTAAGCCCCCAGTCTGCGGTACCTTGTTACAACAGCCCAAACAAGCTTATACCATCTACATGTTATTCTATCTATTAAGGTAGACACCAAGGTGCAGGCACCGAGACATCCAGCTCTCCCATGTCTCAGCAGAGACCCAAGGATTACCTGGTCTGGCTGTGGGGGCAGTGATGCCCAGGCGTCACAGACTCCAATAGGCCTTCCTTGGGGATGCAGGCTGGCCAGGAAGATCCCAGGCCTGGAGAGACTGGCTGTGGGGCCCTGGTATGCAGAACCCAGGCATTTGCTGCCCTGTCTGTTCCCCATCTGTGGGAATGCTTGGAACCTGACTTGCCCCTTACCCTGTGACCTTCTCACTTCACCCCAAGCTCACCACCTACACCCCTGCCCCAAAATGTGTGAATTCCTATTCACCCCTCAGATTTCCCTTTCAAATGAGGCTTCAGAGTGACCTCTCCCTATCCCACTGGCTCTGCACTGGGTTTGCTGCCTGCCAGGGCACATCATGTAGCAAGTACTTGTTCTGACTAAGTACATCTCCAGCTCCTGGAGCCCTGGCTCCCCCCACTTATAGCCCCTTACCAGATCCTGGGAGGATGTTGACCACACCCTTGGGAATTGCCCGCCTTCAAGGTCAGCTCTGCAAACTTCAAGGCTGTGAGTGGGGTCACCTAAGGAGGCAGGAAAAGACTGGGTCAGGAGGTATTGGGAAGAGGGGCTCTGTCATTCTCAGCAGCCCTAGGTAGCAATCAGGCACGGGCAGCTGTGGCAGGAAGACCCATGGTGGAAGACATGTTCATGCCTCACCATAGTGGGTATCAGCAACCCAGCCAGCTTGTCAGGGGACAGGGCCTGCTAACCTTAGGTACCTTTCTACCACCTTCTCCTGGTAGGGTTCCAGCCCCTCTTCCAGGCCTGGGCCCCTCCCTGCATGTGTCACTGTTTACACTGATCCTTCAGGGGGTACAGAGTCTGAGGACTGTGCAGTAGGCATCACTCTGCAGAAGGTTGCAGGGCACACGCCTCTCCCTGCCCCCTCAGAAAAACTAGCCTCCTTCTCTCACTGTGGTGCTGCCTTAGCAGCCCACCTGCTGGGCCCTGGCGGCACCTCAGCCCAGGGAGGGCGTGGTGTTTCAGGGTCCAGCTGAGATTCTGATGACCACTCCACTGCTGGAGATAGTGCCCTGCCTTTGACTAGCCAGAACTGATCCTCCTCTGCAGAAGAAGGGAATAAATTTCTGGTTGAGGTAACTGTCCTAGTCAAGGTAAGGTTGTGCTCCACCCACCACCAGGCCTCAGGCTGAGGGGCCAAATCTCTGGGGTGCTGGCCCTGGAGGAGGGTCTTTGTGTTTCCAAGGACAATGGGCAATGGCCCAGGTCTTCCAGGGACAACAGCTCCCCACATGAAAAGGGGAAGGTTAAGGGTCATCTCAGGGGGTTGTTTTGATGTTTAAATAAGCAAATGTATGTAAATTACTATTCTTGTGTTATATATGTTAAAATGTTCAAGGAGTGCCTAACTCTAGGCACTATACTACTATATAGCAGCTATCATTATTATTTGGCAGAGGTGCAAATTGCCCAAAGAAGCTGGGGCAGTGGGAGACCTCCTGGCTACACTGTTCAGAGTCACATGCCAGAGGATCTCACATCAGTTCCTAACTCCCCCCTGGAGGCAGGCAGGGAAGGAGCTGTTGTTGTCAATGTGCAGATGAAGAAGCAGAGGCTCATGGAGGAGGGGGGTGTTTTCACCCCTGGAGGACCTTGTCCATGCCCTCCTGGCCTGCATGAGTAGCCCCTGATGTCCCACCTCTATGTCTCCTCTCTGTAAGGGGTTGGGGTGGCAAGTGCCCAAATCCCACTGCTCACCCCATTTCCCACTCCAGAACTTTGGTCTCTGAGGCCAAATGGGAGATAATGTGTACCAGCTTTCCTAATAGACCACCGTGGGGTGTCTCAGAGCATGGGGCCAGGGCAAGGAACAGCAAGCAAGGCTTCTGCTCCCCAGAATCCAAAATTCCGGAGCTGTGGAGAAATCCCTGACTCTGCTCACCAGACAACTGCAAACAGCATAGTTACCCTGAAGCAGCCAACCCATGGTGAAAAGAACACAGAACCTGCTTATGGCTGGCACTGGCCCTGCTGCACACTGCTCTGCCACTGTGAGCGGGGCCCACAGCAGGCTGGCTGTCATCAGCAGTACCCTTTCTCCCCTTGAAAAGAAACCAAGGACCACTGTTGGTAAGGGGGCTCATGGGCCATCTGGCTCCTCCCTTACATGGTGCTTCCCCATAACACCTCTACAGCCCATGGGCCCTGCCTATACCCACCTGGGCAGGCTTGATCACCACTGTGTTCCCAGCAGCCAGGCAGGCAGCTGTCTTCCAGGAGAGCATCATCAGGGGATAGTTCCAGGGGATAATAATGCCACAGACCCTACCATACAAAAGAAGAAGGCCCCATCTCTCCACTCAGCTGGGGTACCCACAGTGGACCTACCAGCTGCCTCCTCACTCCCAGGCCTGCTATCTTCTCCAGAGCCAGACTTCTTGATATGGCACCAAAGGGTGCTGCTGATGGAAAGGTGGAGAGATGGGGAAAGTTTCCTAGATGAAGCAGTGTATCCAGTCTGACAGGAGCTCTTCTTTCCAGGGCTTGATGGCATGGGACACTGGGCAGTTTCTGATGGGAGCTATGAGACCAGTCTAGGGGTACAGCTAGGTAGGGTGTGGTACCAGGCAATGGGGTTGTGAAGCAGACAAGCATGGGTAAGAACCTGGCAGCTAGCAGGGACTGGGAGAGGGCTCTAGCTGACACAGCAGGCTGGGGGGATGTGTGATAGGGCTCAGGGTCACACAAGTAGTCTACAGGTGTGGGAGAGGGTTCTCCCATATGTGAGGTCAGGGATCAGGGTCCTATGAAGAAGAGAAACAGGTCATCCTGGAAGACCTGATAAGGTTTGCCTGCCTTGAATTAAGACATGGCACCCAGTGCTGCACCATCTCTCAGTAGTGGAGAAAGCCGCTGTCTGAGCAGTGTCTCCATGGAAGGGAGGCCACCCCACAGTCCTGGGGAACCTGCAGGTGATACACTGTGGTCCCAGCACACATTTGCCCCTGCCTTTCCCTTTGCTCTGCAGGAGTTAGTGCACACAAGAGCCCCACACTGACTATGAGACTGTATTCATCATCACCATCATCAACCATGACCACTACATCACCATCAGAGAACACTTCCAAAAAGGATGACTACTTCGTTGAACCCAGGCAGTGGGAGTGGGTGATGAGAAGCCACAGGGTGTGGGGGCTGGCAGAGTAAGAGCAAGGGGGGTGCTGAGCAGGCATAGAGGCTGGCTCGGGGCCCCCATGCCATCCTGTGAGTGATGGTGGCACACTGAGGGGTTAGAAGAGCCACTTTTGCACACCATATACACCCAGGAAACTCAAAGGGACAAGACAGGGAGAGGGACCAGAGTGAGTATTCCTGGGGAAGTGGTGAGGTCACCAGGGAAAGAGAGGGGCTGGGTTGTGGGGTTTTCAAAACAGAAAAAGATGTCAGAGAAATAAGTCCCACTGTCATGGGCTGAATTGTGCCCTCCAAAATTCACTATGCTGAAGTCCTAATTCCAGAGCCTCAGAATGTGACCTCATTTGGAAATAAGGCCGTGGCAAGTGTAATTAGTTAAGATCAGGCCTTACTGAAGTAGGGTGGACGCCTAACTCAATATGACTGCTGTCCTTGTGAAGAGCATGCTGTGTAAAAAGGCAGAAACACAAGAGGGAACTCCACGTGAACATGCAGAGTCAGACAACACCACAAGATTACCGGGGAATCACCAGAAGGTAGGGGAGAGGGCTGGAGCAGTTTCTCCCTCATGGACTGAGAGAAAAGAGCCAACCCTGACAAAGACACCTTGATCTGGCACTTCCACCCCCAAAGTGCTAACAAAACAGGTATGTGTTGTTTGAGCCTCCCAGTTCTTTGTTATGGTGACTCCAGTAAACCTCTACGTGTATCAATATAGAGGAAAGGCTGTGTCCCCTGGGACCGAGGTCTGCAGAGCAGGTACTTGCATGGGGTCAAGGCCAATGGGGGTGGAGGACACAAGGACAAGATGAATACATCCTTGGCTAAGCTACCATTAGAAGGCCTTTCCATTAGCCTCTGTGCCTCCTCTATTCCTGGTGACCTTTCTTAGTGGGACCCCTGGCTTTGCCCCCAGCGTTGAGGCTTCTACCTCCCAGCCACGGCCCTGCTGCACTCTGCTTCATTGGGCACTGCAATGGGGTGACTCCTGCCTGTCCCAGGGTTCTGTCTTAAGCCAGTGCATAGCTGAGGGTGGGGTGAAGTGGCTGTGGCCTTGCTCCCCCAGATCAGTGCCCCATGTTAGCCCACTCTGCACTGGCCACGGTAGCTGGTTGGTGCACACTGGCTGGAACTATTCCCTCCTCTGCCAGCAGACATTTTGAGAATGCCCTACGTGTGCCCTGGGGGTATAGCAGCCTCAGTTTGCATGATGTGTGTCATCCGGGAAAACAAAATACGATTGCAGGCTGCAGAGTAGGCTAATGTGGGGGCACTGGTCTGGGGGAAAAGGGGCTGCCGCACAAGTAACATCGAAATGACCGGGGACTAGAGGCTGGGGAAGGGGTTGGTGCAAATACACAGAGTAAGGGCATGGGTGTAGAGGATCCAGGGTCCATGAGGGAGGCCAACATGGCTGAGTGCCGTGAGGGGATAGACTCAAGGGGCACAAGGCCAAAGTCAGGAGTCTGATTTTGTTTTAGGTGCACTGGGAGCCAGTGGAGAACACTAAGATAAGCAGTGAGATGGACTCACAATGTTTTTAATGTTTTCTAAACATCAGAAAAAGCTGGCCCATTGTCTTTCTCAGCACCAGGTAGGCATTCTTCTCCTCTCCCCATGGCTTAAGCTGTTTGGCCTGGTCTGGGGAACCCCTGCCCTGGAGTCTGGGCTGCCTGCCTCCAGGCTCACCCCCTCCCTGTGGGCTAAAGGAGGGGTTTTCCTACATCCACAGCCCACTCTCCCTGGGCCATTGGGCCATCTAATGGTGAAACAAAGCCTCTTGTTGCTGGGTTCCAATCCTTCCCCTGTCCCTAGTTTTGCCTATGCTGACTGGACACTCTCCCTCTCTCTGTCTCTCTCTCTTTTTCCCACTGAGCACCTGTCTCTGCTCTGCCTCTTCTCCACCAGTTTTTCTGTTCCTTGAGGTTGTGTAAGAGTCTTTCATTTTTAAGCACATTGATTATTCTCTTTTTAGATAAAACTTTTTAAAGATTTTATTTATTGATTTTTTAGAGAGAGGAGAAAGGAGGGGAAAAGAGAGGGTAAGAAACATCAATAGGTTGCCTCTCACACATGTCCCCAACCAGGGACCTGGCCCACAACCTGGGCATGTTCCCTGACTGGAAATTGAACCGGTGACCCGGTGACCTTTCAGTTTGCAGGATGGCCCAACCCACTGAGCCACACCACTCAGGAAGCAGATAAGTTTGGGGAGTACTTTTCCCACTGTAATGCCAACTGATACAATCTTAGTGTGTGGATTACATAGGATTTATATTTATAAAGTAGTTAAAATAGTGCCTGGCACAGAACAGGTACTACGGAAGTAGAAGTTGTTTTTATCCTGAGAATGGGCATTTTCATCAGTTTTGATCATTGTTGTACTTCCAGCTCCTGAAAAGTCTGGCACATAGAGTTGACAAATAAGTAGATGTTCAATAAATACAAAAACAGAAGACGGTATCAGTGTCCCACACAGCGTGTTGCGTGAAGAGCATCAGCAGTGTGGCCACTCTCCCCCTCTGTTCCGTGACTCACCCAATTGGCTCCTTCCTGGTCAAGGTCAGGTTTCGGTTGGGTCTGGCCTGGTTGATGGGGATGGTGGAGCCCTGGAAAAAGCATGGAGGGTGTCAGTGGAGGGGGCTCCAGTTTGTCACACCTTCCCTCTGGGCAGCCAGACCAAACCTGGGGCCCAGGGAAGAGCAGGGTCTTCTCTATGTCCTGATGCCCCCACTACCCAGATGAGGAGGAGACCCAAACCTCCCAACTTATTATGTATAATGGGACATCTGAGTTCAGATACAGGTGGGGCAGACAGCCCACCTTTGTCATTGACTGAACCCAGCCCCGCTGAAACAGACGGGAGGCACAGAGCCCAGACCTGACAGAGGCACTGTGAGCTCTGCAGTCATGGGTCTCCCAGGGGAAGAGATGACCCATCACTGCCTGCAGCAGGCAAACTTCTGATAATAGCCTAGATGATGCCCTGATACCTGTGACCTGGGATACCACTAACTACCCCTTCTGGGATGATTAGGATGAGAAGATATGCAGGTGAGCCTAGCATAACAATAGGAGCCCCCACAAAAGCAGACAGTTTTCTCCAATTAGTGGCAGATAAGAGTCAGAGAGATTGGGGGAATGAAGGGCTTGGGTAAAGACCAGAGAGGGTTCTGCAGGAGCTGAGAGCAGCCCTGGTCGGCAATCAGCAAGGATCCAGGCCCTCAGTCCTGCCACGGAAGTGACCAAACTGGCCAAAACCAGAATGGGCCTGCAAGCAGGGTTTTCCCCAGAGCTTCAGGATAAGGCCCAGCCCCCACACCTTGATACTGAGCTTGTGATACCCTGTGGTAGAGCCCAGTGGAGACCACCTGGACTTCCCACCTGTAGAACTGGGAACTACTAAACAGTGCTGCCTTACACACTGAGTTGTGGTGGCCCACCTCCCCACTGCCCACATCCTTCAGTCCTGTGGAGACAAGAGGAAGCATGAAGCCCAGACTTGACAGAGACACAGGAGGCCTGCAGCCATGTTACACAGCATTCAGAGTAATGTAGAGCCCTTGGAACTCCCTGCCGGGGCGGGCCTGCCTGTGTGAGCTCTCATGCAGTGGGTGGAGCCCCTTGTGCCCACCTGGATCTTGTCACACCAGCCAGCAAAGTAGCGGAAGGTCTGATGGACATGCCCACATGGGTCTTCAGGGCCAGTGTGTAGACAGCACCCGATCCAGAGCCTCAATGGTGGCCAGCTCTTCCTGATGCTCTTCCATGAGGTCTGCCAACCTGGCCAAGGCATGGAGGAAGGAAGGAAGATGGGTTCGGGCCTGGCGCTTTCTCAAGGCCCCTCTTCAAGGAGTCAGGAGTCCTGCCCTGCACACTCCAATGTGCTGACATCAGTTTCCTCATCTATGAGATGGAACAGTAACATTTACTTCACTGGATGAGTGAGAATGATGCCTTCTGTTCTGCTCTCCACCCTCTCTCTCTTTTCTTCTTTCTCCGCGATCTTGGTGAATTGATTACCTTATCATAGCCCCCAACACACGACCCTGCAGAGGAGGCTGCCTGCCTCCAACAAGGAAGTCACCATCCCAGGAGGCCAACCTCTCTTTCCAGATGGCCTCCACCAGGGGAAAGCCTGTCCAGCTTCCAGCACCAGTGAATCCAATGGAAACTGGTTCCAAGGCTGGTGTCTCCAGGGATGGAAAGAGGGATGACAGGAGAGATGTGAAGGAAGGCATGTCCACACAACCTCCTGGAGTCTGAGCAGAATCATGTCCAGTTGTTCTCCCATGATTCTGGTGGGCATGCCACTGCGGTCAGCCTAGGAATTAGAATAGTTCCCCCCCTTCCTGGTGTGAGGGTCATATGCGCCTGGCAGGCAGGGTGAACTGGCAAAGGTAGGGACCACTGATCTAGAGGAGCCCTCAATCTCGTACATGGGGGAAGGTCGAGCTCAGAGACAAGTGTGTGATCAAAGCCTACTGACCTCTTCCCCGTTCTTTCCTTTCTACGTACAGCCACTGGCAAGGCCCTAATACCACCAGGTCTTTTCAGTCTTCCTGCCTACACCTCCAGTTCTCCCAGTGGCTGCCCACAGCACTCAGGATGCAGCCCCCCTACCCTGTCTGAGTGACTAGCTCCCAAGGGCCTGCCTAATTCCTCCTGGGGCTACGGCACCCACTTGCCTGTGATCTTTGGGAGCCATGTGGCATGTGGGCCCACACCGCTCTTCCTGTACCGTTTCCCCCTCAACCTTCTGCACCTCTTTCAGACCCTCTGGAAAGCTGACCTTAACCCTACCCACTGCAAAGCAATCAATCCTGTCTCCCTGCAGTGTCCTGCAGCATCCTTGCCTTTTTTCAAACCTCTCCCAACTGCCACTGACATTCACTTAGATGAGTATTTCCAGTACTACTGCCACCATGAGGGCAGGGACAGCACTGGTCTCCTGCTCCTCACCAGGCACATGGGCTCCATGCCGTGCAAGATTGGTGAGTGAAACCTGTGGACTGAATAAGCACAACAAATTAGCAGCAGAGCCACACTGTCACCTCAGCAAACAGTGCCCAGGTCACTCTATGGGTAAATCACTTTTTGAGAAGAATTATAGACCAAGTATTGAAAACACAATGTTGTGTATTTCAAGGACTAGGGTTCTATTGGCTACAAGGACAAGTGAGCCGAAGACACAAATCTATATTACAAATGAGCCAAAGATAGCCCCCCAGGTTGCCAGGGAGGTTCTATGTTGTCTCCCTGGAGTGCCGGAGGGCTGGCTGGTAGCTTTCTCTAACTCTCCTTTCTGGATCTCTCTTTCCAGCTTCTACAATTTCTAGCATCATGTCTTATTTCTATAATGCCTTCCATATTCCATCATACCCATGGTGGTCCTACTTCCTCACTGAACCAGGGGGTGTTCTGCAGCCACTTCTCTGGGGAATTCTCTCCTGCCCCCTTCCAGGGCAGCAATGGGCACACCTCTTCCCTGGGGATGGGGAGGCTGATGAGGCAGGGAGCAGATCTCAGGAGATTTCAGGCATTGAGATATCTGTCTACCCAGTTGGAGTCTCCACTTAAAGCTCTGCAGAGAAACAGCTCCTCATTATCTTTGTTGTTAGTGGGGTTATTACATGTACCACCAGATGGTAGGAGAGTATTTCAAGGGAAGGACACTTTCTTCTGGGCCAGTGCCATCCACCACAAAGGTTCCTATTCCAGGGCCTGCAGGTCACCACCAGCAGCCTATACATGCACGCTTCACAGTTCTGACTGACCTTCAGAGGCTCTAGGTCACTAGCCAATGGCTTCCTAAAATTGATAGGTTCTCCAAGAATCCCAGCAACTACAGTTAAGGCAGGCTGGGTGTGAACTTCCATAGCTCTCACCTGTCCTAAACACCACCATTTCTATTCCACTTTGCAACCCATACAGGCCTCTCTCTTTGCCTTCCTGCTTTGAGGACTGCTGTGGCATGTTTTACCTCTGAAATAGAAACAAAAGGCATTCTGACTGTGTGGCCAAGGTGGGGTCCCTCCTACCAGATGACAAGCATACTCAGGCTGCATTATCATCAGGCCGCGTGCCAGAGAGCTTCCCAGAACCCAAAGTGACAAAGCCAGGTTCCTGGAAACTGTCTCACCAGGTTCTAGATACTGCTCAGTTCATCTGTCCAGCACCCTCCCCTCTGTTGGAAACATCACTCCGCTTTCTTGTAGTGATTGCTTCACCCACACTGGGACCACCTAATTCTAGAGGAACAGCTCCTTTTCCTCCGGGTCTCACTTCCACCTTGTTGTCACAAGCCAGAGAAATCCCAAGTCCTTCCCTAAGACTTCTGATTGGAGTTAAGGAGAGAGCCCTTTACACCTGACTTTAAAAAGAAAAAAGGAAAATGTGAGAACGAGCCCCACCTCTGCCCTTGCCAACTGTCTGAGTCTGCCCAGAACCAGCTGTTAGCTTTGCCATTTTGTGGCTCCCATCTGAAGCACTGCCTCACCTTTGTACCTCCTTATCTTTGCTCACATTGTCTCCTCTACTCAGGATACCTTTCCCCCTAAGGCCACTTGTGAAATCCCTCTTGCCTCCCAAGTCACTTCCTCCAAGCAGCCTTTTATGAGCTTCAGGCCTCCCGTGACCTGTCCAGAACCCCAGCTCCTCTTGACAGGGACCATAACATCCACCCCTCACCCTGAGCTGAAGGTGGGTGGTGGCTGACAGGTGGGTGTGTGGCTCTTACCTGTACAGGAGCTGGCCCCCGGTCCCGCGCGCTGATCTTCCCCCACAATCCGTTCTCAAAGGCCTCTTTTGCAGCAGCCACTGCCTTGTCAACATCGCTGGCCTGGGCCAGGGACACCTGGCAGATAACCTGTGGTGGAGCAGAGCTCTGAAGCCCTCCCTAAGCTCAGTGGACACAAACACAGTCACAGCACCTCCCCTGCTCTCCTGGCCACCTGGTGAGCTCAGAGAAGAAAGTTTGCCAGAAGAAGGGCACTGGAGGGGAGCAACAACGAGAGGAAGATTGTTGGGTCCCAGGGAAAGGTCTGTTTGTATTTCTACACACCAGGGACCTTCTCTTCACTTTCCCACTGAGTCCAACAGGGCAGCAGACTTGGGCTGCAGATTAAGTCTGAGTGTTTTCAAACCAAAAGCATGGACTCATTTCAGCAGAAGTTTTCTTTCTTAAGTGGAATAGGCGAGACATTGGAAGAAACTGGACAGGTCCCCCTCTCTGCATGGCACACCCCAAGGGTGCCAATATTCTCTACAGCACAAGCCTTGGCACAGGTGAGAGAGAAGGGAAGGAGGGGTGAGGTCAGCACTTCCCTTGCTGATCAGTACAGATGGCACCTGCTGGGCAGCCCTGTCCCTATAACCTCCAGTCCAAGACCCCCAAAGTATGTTTTGAGGTGGCAAGCGCTCCAATGTTGCTGTCCAAGGACACTGTACCCCTTGTCTATATCCCCACAATTTCTTCATCTCTTTGGGAAGAACTTTCTTTACACTCCCCTCAGATGAGCCATTTTGAGTGTGCTATCACTTTTCTCAGGAACTGAAGTGATGCTGTAGGATGGGACAGAATAGGAAGTGATCAGAATATACCTGTGAGAATATATTCTGTTGTTCCAGGTATGCAATGTGTGCATGGGTCATGATGTAAGAGGGCAATAATCAAGAACCTTGACAAACGCAGGATTCGAGGGAAGAATTTTCTGATGTTGGGGTACAAATATTTGGGAAGGTGGGGCCCACACTGGGATAATTGTTGAAGTGTGGAGGAGGGAATGGTCTTCTTGTCTTCTCTGGGAGGTTGTAACTCTATTCCAGGTCTATGAAGCCAGCTCAAGCCCCCTGTAGAGTGCTCTGGTCCCCAACCCCTGCCAACCTCTCCACTATGCCATTCCTGTAATGGAGGTCTGGAGAATGACTGCAGTCCTTTTGTGTCCAAGCAGAAGTCCCCTGGGACAGGACCCCCAGAGGTCAGATAGGGGGAGTAGATGGGAAAACACATCATGGAAGGGGCAGCAGTGGCAGGGAGGAAAGAAGGGGATGCTGGGCATGCACTCACACTTCCATCTGTCGGGTTGATAGTGTCATAGGTCTTGGCACCCTCAGCATCCACAAACTTGCCCCAATGAAAAGTTGGTGAGGCATTTGGAGGACCAGCTTGTTCACTGCTTTTTCCACCTGGGAAGGAACATTTCACAGGTTTTAGCTGTAGTGTGGATTCTTCACAAATGGGCATCAGTGAGTGGCACAAACCCACATGGAGACATAAGAAACACTTAGGTGGTGCTTGCTTCAGCAGCACATATAGTAAAACTTGAATGATACAGAGAATATTACCATGGCCCCTGCACAAGGATGACAAGCAAATTCATGAAGCATTCCATATTTTTATGGATAAGTACCTATCAATAATAGCCTTAAATGTAAATGGATTAAATGGTCCAGTCAATAGATGTAGGGTAGCTGAATGGATAAGAAAACATGACCAGCACATGTGTTGCCTACAAGACACCCACCTCAGAGCAAAAGACCTACACAGGCTGAAAGTGAAAGGTTGGAGAACAATATTCCAAGCAAATGGACAGGAAAACAAAGCCGGGATAGCAGTATTCGTATCAGACAAAAGTAGACTTCAAAAAAAGGCCATAAAAAGAGACCCGGAAAGACAGTTCATAATCCTCAAGTAAAGAATCCATCAAGAACACATAAACATTATAAACATATATGCACCCAATATAGGAGCACCGAAATATGTAAGGAAAACCTTGAGGACTTCAAGAAAGATATAGACAGCAACACACTTATACTAGGGGATTTTAACACTGCACTGTTAAAAATGGATAGATCCTCCAAACAAAACATCAACAAGGATATTGTAGCATTGAACAATGCCTAGATCAAATGGACTATATCTATGTAGATATATAGATATAAGATATATATGTTTCATCTATATATCTCCTTTCATCCCAAAGAAGCAAAATACACATTCTTTTCAAATGTACATGGAATATTTTCAAAGATGGACCACATGATAGGACACAAAACAAGCTTCAACAAATTCAAGAAAACTGAAATTGTATGAAGCATTTCTCAGACCATGTGGGCCTGAAACTAGAAACCAACCTCAAGGGAAAAACTCAAAAATATTCATATTAGTGGATATTGGTTAGCATGCTATTAAACAATGAATGGGTTTAAAGTGAGATCAAGGGAGAAATCAAAAGCTTTCTGGAAACAAATGAAATTGAACTCACAGAAGTCCAAACCTTATGGGACACAGCGAAGGCAGTATTGGGAGGGAAGTTCACAGCAATACAGGCTTACCTAAAAAAGACAAAAGATTTCAAATAAACAATCTAACCCTACACCTACAAGAACTGGAGGAACAACAACAAACAAAGCCCCTAGTGAGTACAAGGAAGGAAATAACCAAGGTCAGAGCAGAATTAAATGACATACTCGAAGGTCAGTAAATCCCAGATCAGCAAAAGATAAGCAAAATCAACATGCCTTTAGTCAGGCTCATCAAGGAAAAAAGAGAGAGGGCCCCAATAAACAAAATGAGAAGTGAAAGAGGAGAGATTACCACTGATACTCCAGAAATAGAAAGGACTGTAAATAATAACTATGAACAACTATATGTTAAGAAATTTGACAATCTGGGTGAAATGGACAAGTTTCTAGAAAAATAGAATCTTCCAAAACTGAATGGAAAAGAAGCAGAAAGCCTGAACAGACCAATAACAGCTGATTGAATCAAAGCAGTAATCAAAAAACTCCCAGCACACGATGGCCCAGGACCTGACGGTTTCACAGGAGAATTTTAGGAAACACAGAAGGAAGGGCTAACCCACATCCTTCACAGACTATTCCAAAAAAATCCAAGAGGAAAGACTCCAAAACCTCTGTTCTATGAAGCCATCATCTACTAATCTAAAAACCATATAAAGACACAACGATGAAAGAAAACCATAGGCCAATATTGCTGATGAACACAGACACTAAAATCCTCAACAAAATATTGGCAATCCACAACCATCATTACATTAAAAAGATCATACACCATAATCAAGTGGGATTCATCCGGGGATGCAAGGATGGTACAATACTCTCAAATCAATAAGTATAATACATCACATAAACAAAAGGACAGACAAAAATCACATGATCATATCAATACATGTGAAAAAAGCATTTGATGAGGTACAGCACCCATTTGTGATAAAAAAAAATACTCAGCAAAATGGGAGTAGAGAGAGCATTCCCTCAACATAAAAAAGACCATATACAGGAAACCCACAGCCAACATCATACTCAACGGGCACAAACTAAAATCTTTTCCACTAAGATCAGGAACAAGACAAGGATGCGCACTTTCACCACTTCTATTAAACACAGTATTGAAAGTTGTAGCTAACAGTGGTCAGACAAGAAAAGAAATAAAAGACATCCAAATTGGAAAGGAGGAAGGGAAAACTGTCACTATTTGCAGATGACATGATAGTGAACATAGAAAATCTATGGACTCCTCAAGAAAACCTTCTTGACCTAATAAGCAAATTTGGCAAAACAGTGGGACACAAAATCAATATTCAGAAATCAAAGGCATTTTTGTACACCAACAATGAAATACCAGAAAGAGAAATCGGGGGGAATCCCATTTGATGTAGCAACAAGAAAATAGAGTACCTAGGAGTACATCTAATCAATGAGGTGAAAGATCTGTACTCAGGAAACTACACAACACTGACAAAAGAAATTAAGGAAGACACAAATAAATGAAAGCACATACTGTGTTTATGCATTGAAGGAATTAACATCATCAAAATGTCCATACTACCCAAAACAATTTTTAGATTCATACAATCCATAGTAAATACCAATGATATATTCTCAGACATAGAACAAACATTTCAAAAACTTATATGGAACAATAAGTGACCCCAGATAGCCATAGCAATTTTGAGAAAGAAGAACAGAGTAGGAAGGATCACAAGACCTGATATCAATTATATTACAAGGCCATGGTAATCAAAACAGTCTGGTACTGGCATAAGAACAGACACATCGATCAAAGGAACAGAATAGAGAGCCCAGAAATAAACCCAAGTCTCTATGGCCAATTAATATTCAACAAAGGGGAAAGAAGCAAAAAAAATGAAGTAAAAACAGCCTGAAGAATCTTCAACAAATGGTATTGGGCCATCTGGACAGCTACACGAGAACAAAAAAGGACTCAATCACAACTTACACTATACACAAAAACAAACTCAAGATGTATAAAAGACTTAAATACTTAGAGGACAATAAAAGTCCTAGAGGAGAACATAGGCAGGAAATCTCACATATTGCACACAGCAATATTTACACTGGCATGTTCCCTACAGCAAGGGGACATCAAGGAAAGAATAAACAAGTGGAACTTCATCAAAATATAAATGTTCTGCATGGATAAAGAAAGCATCAGCAAAATGAAAAGGGAACCAATGATATGGGAAAATATATTTACAAGTGATATCACAGACAAGGGTTTGAGCTCCAAAATATGTAAAGAACTCACATGACTCCAGGAAGACAAATAACTCAGTTCAAAAATGGGTAAAGGACCTGAATAGACACTTGTCCAAGGAGGACATACAGAGGGCCCTGAGACATATGAAAGGATGCTCAGCATCACTCGCCATCAGAGAGATGCAAATTAAAACCACAGTGAGACGCCACTTGACACTGATCATAATGGCCATCGTAAACAAATCAACAAACAAGTGTGGGAGAAGTCATGGAGGAAAGGAATCCCCAGTGAACTGTTGGGGAAGTGCAGACAAGTGTAGCCACTGTGGAAAACGATATGGGATTTCCTCAGAAAACCAAAAATGGAACTGCCTTTTGACCCAGCAATTCCACTGCTGAAACACCTATTCAAAAGGTCCTATGCACCCCATTGTTCATAGCAGCACAATTTACAGTAGCCAAGTGCTGGAGGCAACCTAAGTGCCCATCAGTAAGCACATTTACACAATGGAATACTATACAGCAGAAAGAAAGAAGGAGTTCCTACCTTTCTTTACAGCATGGGTGCATCTGGATAGCATTATGCTAAGTGAAATAAGCCAGGCAGTGAAAGAGTAATACCATATGATTTCATCTATAAGTGGAACCTAATCAACAAAACAAATAAGTGATCAAAATATAACCAGAGACACTGAAATAAAGAATGAACTGACAGTAAGCAGAGGGGAGGTGGGAGGGGATAATAGGGGAGGAGGTGGAAAGTTCCTCAAGGAACATGTATAAAGGACACATGAATAAAGCCAAAGGGGGGGGTAGGATCAAGGGTGGGAGGTAGAGTTGGCTGCACTGGGGGCCAGTGGTAGAAGGAACATGGAGACAACTGAACGTGAACAAGAAGAAAAAAGAAAATACAAGATTATTTCTTACTGCCAATGATGGTCAGATTGAAGTATCTCTACCAGCCCCATTTTTAATATTATCTCAAAATATTGGCATATTTTCTACAGTGTTAATAATTTGCATTTCTAGAAATAAAAGCTTGATGCATAAAATAAATAAAGAAACACTTAAATGGATAGACAACCACTGCCATGTTTGTGCACACACACACACAAACTGGGCTACAGTCCATGGGCTACAACTGAGGGATCTACTGTGGGGGAAGGCTAAGATCTGATTGGTATAAGAAGAAATGAAAAGCATAGACTCTGAGGCCAAACTGCCTTGACTAAAGCTCCAGCCCTGCTACTTACCTGCTATGTGACCTCAGGCTGTTTGCTTGACCTTCACACATGGAAAGTAGGTGGACAGGTCCCTGCAAACCGCCACACTTGACACCAGCCCCACCATGTACTTCTCTAAGATCTGCAACTACATGCTGAATGCACGAGTCTCTGTGATGCTGACTCCTTCCTGAAACCTGTTCATCAGTCATTTCTCCACAAACCCAAAGCCAAACTGAAGTCCATCCTGTCAACCTGTACTTTCTTCATCAGCCTTGGTCTCAAACTACCAACCAAATGAATTACCCCAAAGCTAATTACTATGGGAGTTTGTAGCTTGCCAAGATAACCTGGCAATAATTTTCAAGAGTTTCTTTAAGAAATGGATTTGCAATTACTTCATCACTCTTCCATAACACAGGTGAAATGTATAGGAACATTTGATTTCTTTATTGAGAAAATAATCCAAATTTCTTTTCCTCTTGCTTTCTTTTTTGTTCTAGCATTTCAAGAAACATAATTTAATGCAGAGAATTAGTTACACAGGTGATGGAAGAGCTGAGAAGCCATGGGTCAACCCAGAGATCGCTAATAGCAGGAAGCCACTGCCATCACCAAATTAAAGGGACAAATGGAGGAGATGGTTGTACCAGAACTCGGGGCTAGGGCCATTCAGGGGAGCCAGAGTCAAGGCAGGATAATCTGGGAGAGGATGGAGGCACAGTGAAGATGAACTTGAAAAACCCACAAAATGTGAAAGAAAGAGAGAAGTGCTCTGTACAAGCTTCTTATTATTTTCCTAGTTTCATGTCTTGGAACTCAGAACTTGCCCTATAGACTGAGTCTTAGACAGAAATTTCTTCTGTTGTGTTTTCCCTACTGCCAGGCCTGGCATCAGGTCATCCAGAGCTGCCAGAGAGAGCTTGGGACACTGAAAAACGGGCTCTTGGGGGTCCTGTCTTCCAGTTCATCTATGTTACCCCATGTGTCATTTTGGGTCCGTAGCTGTCAATGCCTGAAGTGTCTACAGAGCCATGCCCATGTAGAGGGGGCCCAGAACTCACGTAGTCAATGATGCACTCGCTCTCTTTGTCATCCCCCGAAGCTTTCTCACTAACAATTGGATGAAGTCCTTGAAGGTTGTTGCCATGTAAATGTCTTCATTTTCTAATTCCACACCATCACACAGCTCTTTCACTTCTTCCACCAGTCTGAAGGAAAGGAGATTTTAAACAGTAGGACTATGGAAAGAGGCAATGGCAAGCATGGATTCTTCTAGCAGCAGAGGTGCTGGTGCCCAGCACATTTATCCAGAAGAGACTTTCATCCCAGCACCTAAAGCATGAGTATTAGTCTAGAATTGAGGCTAATATCTCAATCTATGGACTGAGAAGGCCTTGGTTTCAAGTTCTGGCTCCACCACTTACTAATTTGTGATCTTGGGTAAGTGACAAACTCTTCTGAGTCTCAGTTTCTTCACCTGTAATATGGGAGTAATAATAGCTCCACCATTATTTTGTGATGAGTAAATGAGATAATCTAACTATTAATAATAACTAATATCAGAGCAAGAATAATAATTTTCAAAACACACTGTTAAACATGAAAAAATCAGCCACAGACTGGGAGAAAATATTTCCAAATCATGTAACTGATAAAGGACTTTCACTCACAATATATAACAACTTTCAAAATCCAACACTAAGAACAAAACAATCTAAGTAAAAATGGTCAAAAGATTGATCGGTTATGTTGCCAAAAAAAGAAACATGGATAATATATGAAGAGATGCTGAACATCATTAGTCATTAGGAAAATGCAAATTCAAACCAAGAGGCATGGCTAGATACTCATTAGAAAATCTAAAATTATAAAACCTGACCATACCAATTACTGGTAAAGATGTAGAGCAACTGAACTGTCATAAACTGTTGGTAAGATTGTGGAATAGTATTTTGTAAAGCAGTTTGGCAGTTCCTTAAAAAATTAAACACACACTTCTCATTTCACTTTCAGGCATCTACCCCAGCAAAATAAATGCCTTCATATAGATAGATGATGACAGAGTAAGAAGATCCAAAAGTCCATCCCTCCACCTAAATAATTATTGAACTTGCAGAAACTGCCTCAATCGAATGTTTAGGAAATCTGGAGTCAAGTGAACTCTTGCAGTATCCACGGAAAAGCATGACGAGGAGCTGGCAAATATCAGTAAACTTTAGTGAATTTCAGCCTTTCAGTGAGGTACTGGCTGCCATCTCTTATCTCTCAACTTTGTGGCAGGAAGCCATGCAGGCAGCAGGCCACACTCCTGGTTGCAGCTGGCTGGAGCCAGGGTGGGCAATAAGAACTCTGTCTTTTGTAACTCAAGATTTGTGTTCTGAGTGTTGATACTGAACACTGAGGAGCCAGCACAAAGTCTGGCAGTCATTGTTTCAGTCTCCCAAGGCCGAAGCAGCTTCTCTGGGATTTAAAGAGGCAGTACATTTGTTTGCTTGTTTGTTTTTTTACTTTCTTTCCCTTTGGGGAGCCAGACATTTAACAAACTCTTTGCTAGGTAACAGGCTGACTGTAGAGATAACAGAATAGAAACTTTAATAACTGACTACACACAAGAAATACCCACTTTGTTTAAAAAAAAAGTTGGGGTAAGTCACAAGTGAATGGCTCCAGCCCTCAAGAAACTTGATTTTGCAAACGCTAAGAAGTGAGAGAATTAGACTTTCAGAAGTATCACAATAAAATACTCAAAATATTGTTTTAAACCAAAAAAAGCAAAAATATAAAAAAGTATAGTCCATTCACAGGAAAACAGGAATTTAAAACAGGAAATCCTAAGGAAGAACACATACTGAAATTGTTAGTCAAAGATTTTAAATCAACTGTCTTAAATATGTCCAATCATTTTTTAAACCATGAACTAAGAACTAAAGGATATCATGGAAATGATGCATGAAAATGACAGTGTTAACGAAGATAGAAATTATAATAAACCAAACAAATTCTCAACCTGACAAGTACAATTATTGGAGTAAAAAGTCTCTGGAGGGGCTCAACAGCAGATTTAAGCTGGCAAAAAGAAAGGATCAGTGAATTTGAAATTATCTAGTATGAGGGCCTAAAAAATAAAAAGAGCGAATAAAAATAATTGAGCCCGAGGAGCCTGTGGGACATCATAAAACATATTAACATGCTCACTATGGGAGTTCCAGCAGAAACAAAAAAAAATTATCTAAGGTATAATAATTAGAAAAGTCCTAAATGTGAGAAACATGAATATACGTGTCCATGGAGCTCAGTGAACTCCAAGAAAGATAAACTCAGAGAAAACCACAATAAGACACATTACATCCAACTCACTGAAATGCAAAGACAAAGAAGAAAGTGGGAAAGCATCAAGAAAGAAGTGATTCATCACATACAAAGGATCCCCAATAAGGTTAAAAGCTGATTCTCCTCAAATACCATGAAGAACAAAAGCAGTGGGATAGAGTCATGAAAAAATTAATAATGAACCAAGAATTAATGATGGGGACATTAAGACATTTCTAGACAAACAAAAGTTGAGGGAGTTCATTACCTGTAGACCTGTCCTACACTAAATATTAAAGGAAGCCTTTCAAGCTGAAAGGAAGGGCACTCATGACGAACTCAAAGCCATTAAAAAAGGAAAAAAGAAAACACTGGTAAAAGTAACTACACAGATAAATGTGAAAGCCAGCAGTACTGTATTTTTGATATGGTATATAACTTCTCTCTTTGTCTTATGTAATACAATAGGCAAATGCATGAAACAGTAAGTTAAGTTCTACATTAATGTCTTTTTTTAAAGATTTTTATTTCTTTATCTTCAGAGGGGAAGGGAAGGAGAGTGAGAAAGAAATATCAATGTATGGTTGCCTCTCATGTATCCCCTGCTGGGAACTGGCCTGCAACCCAGGCATTTGCCATGACTGGGAATCGAACCGAGATACTATGGTTCTCAGGCTTGTGCTCAATCCACTGAGCTACACCAGCCAGGGCCATTAATGTCTTTACAATGCATAAGGATGTAATCTGTGACAATAACAATATAAAGGGGGAATGACAGAGACGCATAGGAGTAGAGTGTTTGTGCACTATTGAAACTAAGCTGGTTATTATAGGGTTAAGATGTTAATTACAATCTCCAAGGTGATAACTAAAAGAAAATAAGAAGGAACAAAATTATACACTACCAAAAAAAAGAGCAGCAATGGAAAGACTGAGGAATATGTGAAACATACAAAATGCAAATTAATAAATGTCACAAGTAAATCCTTTACCTGCAGTCTGGATAAATGAAATGGAAGAGTGAGTAAAAAACAGCATCCATCCATATGCTATAAAAGATTCACTTTAGATATAATTATACAAAAAAGTTGAAGGTACAAAATGGAAGAGATATTATATACAAATAGTAAACAAAAAGGGTTGGTGTGGCTACATTTTGGCAGACAAAATAGATTTTAAATTGAAAAAGTTTAAAAGAGACAAAGAATATTGAGAAGATTGATATCAAGTTTAACACAAGAGAATACAGCAATCATAAACATATATGCATCTAAAAGCACAGCCCCATAATAAAAAATTGGCAGAATTGAAGAGAGAAATATATATTTTATAATAATAGTTAGATTGTAAATTCCCAACTTTCACTGATAAATAGAAAACCACAGAGAAGATAGAGAAATAAAGGACTTAAGGAAACACTTTAAACTTGGGGGGCGGGGCAGGGAGGTATAAGGGGACTAAATGGTAATGGGAAAAAAAATACAACAAAAACCACCCCTCTATAATCAATTGTATGCATACAGAGTATTCCACCCAAGTAGAGCAGAATTCACATTCGTCTCGAGTCCACATGAGATACTCTCCAGGATAAGTCATTTGTTAGCCACACAAGTTTTAATAAATTTTAAAACACTGAAATCTTATAAAGTATCTTTTTAATCACAATGCAATAATACTAGAAGTCAATAGCACAAAGAAAACTGAAAAAAATCACAAATACGTGAAAATTAAATACACATTCTTTCTAAATTTTTTATTTTTTCCAGTTTTATTGAAAAATAATTAATATGTATCACTGTATAATTTTAAGGTGTTGAGCATGATGTTTGATTTACATATATTGTAAAATGATTACTATGATAGGTTTAGTTAACGTCCATTGCCTCATTTAGATACAAAAAGGAAAATTTTTAGTCTACTCTTAACAATTTTCCTATATATCATACAGCAACATTAAGTATAGTCATCATGTTGTACATTACATTCCTATTACTTATATATTTATAGCTGGAAGCCTGTACCTTTTTAACTACTTACCTCCAAAACCTTTTCCCCAAACTCCCCTACCCCACACCTCTGGTAACTACAAACCTGATCTCTTTTTACATGAGTTTGGAGGGTTTTGTTATTGCTGGGTGGGTTTTTTTGTATTTTTTGGAAGACTTCACGTATGAGATCATACAATAAACAACTCTTTCTTTCTTTAAGATTTTTTATTTATTTATTTTTAGAGAGGGGAAGGAAGGGAGAGAGAGGGAAAGAAATATCAATGTGTGGTTGCCTTTCACATGGTCCCCACTGTGGATGTGGCCTGCAACCCAGGCAGGTGCCCTGACTGGGAATCCAACCAGCGACCCTTTGGTTCACAGGCCATGGCTCAGTCCACTGAGCCCCACCAGCAAGGGCTAAACCACACTTTCTTAAACAACCAATGGGTGAAATACGAAGTCACAAAGGAAACTGTAAAGTACCATCAAAGAAAAAGAGAATCACAACATACCAAATCTTATATATCACAACAAAGATAGTGCTAAGAGGGAAATTAACTGTAAAAGTATACATTAAAAAAGAAGAAAGATGTCAAGTCAATAGCTTAACTATATACCATGTAATTAGGAAAAGAAAAGCAACCTAAAGCCAGAAGGGAGAAGTAAATAATAAAGATTAGAACAGAAATAAATGAAATAGACCTGTAATATTCTTTTTCTTTTTTCAGTGTCTTTGTCTGGTTTTGATATCAGGGTAATGAATGCAGACTTTGTAGAATAAATTTGGAAGTATTCCCTTTTCTTCAATTTTTTTCTGCAATAATTTGAGAAGGATGGATATTAATTCTTTAAATTTCTAACAGCATTCGCCTGTGAAGTGATCTGGTCCTGGACTATTGTTGGGAGTTTTT